AGTTTCTATCATACTTTGCTACTGGTTATGGGGTGGCAACATTTATTATGTGGTGGCCATGACATAATATGCATGCATAATGTGTATTAAGTATTTTTGCTTCCTCAATTAATAGTTGTTTTTTTTTCTTAAAATGCACAACCTTTTCTATTAATTCTACTAGGGGGGACTTTGTGGTGCTGTATCAGTACTTTGACTTTTAGAAGTAAAAGCAGCCCTGAGTATTTTCAACAGCCAAAATTAGCAACAAGCAGTTAAGTAGTATGTATAGTATCAACTTTGACATAGTAGTGGCACAAAAATAATGCCATAGTACGCTGCTCTCGTCAGAAGTAAATGCAAATAAATCTGCCCAGGCATCATTAAATGTTCTATTTTCTTCAGATATTTTTCTTTTCTTACATTTCTCCATACTTGGCCTACCTGGGGTTGAAAGTCTCGATAAATGCACGGCGTTTCAGCGGTTATACCAGCTTCCGCGAGTGTTATTTTGAAAAAATAATAAAATGTCATTTTATTTTTATATTTCAAGATCATGATAATCTTCCAATTTAGAACTACAAGTTAAATAAAAAGAACTAACACAAATAAAATACACTTCAGCTAAATACTTTTATAATTTATTTTCTCAAACCAAGGAGCCGCAGTCTAAAGATTAAAGAGCCGCAGGTTGCCGACCCCTGCTCTAGGCTAACAGCACTGAATAATAAAATAGCTGCTGGCTAATAAAAACTAGGGGAGCTAGAAAGCCGCACCTGAGTTCAGTGTGCCCTGGCTCAGACCTGGGAGCTAAAGCCATCAGTCATGTCTGTCACCACTTAATAACCCTGTTTGTTATCTTTTGTCTCTCCAAGTTTAACCACAGAGTCCAGCTATAATACTGCATGAGAAACGATGGAAAATGGATATATAAACATGGCACAAGCTTAAAGTCAGCTAAAGTTAAAGCCAATGGATTTTGGCTGTAGTGCTGTGGTGTAAGTGGTGTGTGAGTAAGACTGGGAGGGAATATGAGCATGTGTTAGCAAATGACAGAAAGGACCCCATGATGAGAGACACAAACTGTTAAGCATGTTTTGATGGAATCTAGCAATTATATTATGAAAATGATCAAGGAAAGAAATTTTCCTTATAGTCAACAGTGAACGTGGATCACTGGAAAGTCTTTATTTAAGTTTCTGCACCATACTGGACAGTATATAAACATTTAATGTACTCTTTCATTTATGTTTTTTCTTCATTTTAACTACTTTCTACATTGTAGATACATACTGCAGACATTTAATATATGCGGAAAGATATATGGAATTATGTAGCAAAGAAAAAATTGATAAATAACTCTAAATATAATAATGGACTGCATTTATACAGCGCTTTTCGAGACCCTCAAAGCGCTTTACAATTCCACTATTCA